CCACGATACACTTTATGTTAGAATAACATCGACTATGAAACTTAAGGAGTTTATGACCCACTGTTACAACCTGATCAGAATCTCATACAGTCAGTTCATTTGGTAAATTATGATAAAGAAAGAAAGATCAGATTGACAGTCTAAAATGGTATAATTCCATTTCACAGTTTCTCATCAGCTGCAAACCACCTGAAATTACAATGGTTATAAATAATGACACAACACACTTGAATGTTTGAATGGTTGTAGAGAACACACAATAAAATTACTGTATCCAAAATATTGAGCATTACAATTTTTTAGTTTAGGTTAACATCAATTTATGTGTTCCAAAATGGAAAAGGGGAGGAGGAGAAGACATAAAACATAACAAACAGTCTTAAGTTGTAGGTCAGCATAGCAACTCAAGAAGGTTAGAGTTCATAGGATTGAAAACTTGCTCAGTGAGCTGAAATCACTAATATCAGTGACTAATCAACTTAATCAAAATGCAGTTACTAAGGGAGTGAGAGACGGACTACACTCTTTTTCTGTATGCTTAAGTTTGAAATGTTTGATCTCATAAGTTTCCTGGATTATACTCCGAAAACCGCATGGAAGCCGTATATAGTTAAGGGCTTAGCTGGAGAGAAGCATCTTTGTTTTACTCCTTTCATTTTCTTATCAATCTTTTGTGATACTGCTTCTCCTTTAAACAGGAGTCAAATGAACACTTTCCTCTTTTCAACAGCTGGATGTTTTGTTTTCTCGCTACACTTTTGGATACCCATTTCCCCTTATGCATTTTCTCACCTGGCTAGGAGAACATAACTTCCTGGTTCTGTCGTACGGTGTCCTTACTAACCCACGCTTATAACTCATATGAGAGAAGATGTTGTAGTGAAGATATTATCTGTGCCAGGTTTCTTTTCTGTCGATGGATTTTTCAACCGTACCACTGTTTCCTTCTCCTAAATGAAGGTTCAGGAAATTGAACCCGTAGTTGTGCTCATATTCCATGGTGAATTTAGCGTATGGATGGATCGCATTGAGACGCTCAAATAATATAGATGCGTGACTCAAGTCTTTACAAAAAACAAACGTATCATCGACATACCAGGGATAGTAGGCTATAACATTGATAACTGAACTCGATCGTGTCTGTTCGAGATAGCCCATGAAGATATCGGCCTGTAAAGGTCCGAGAGGTGAACCCATGGCGACCCCATCAATTTGCCAGTAAAACTGGTCGTTACACTTGAATTGGATGTCTTTTTTGAAGTGAAGTAGTGAACGTTTAATTTCAGTTTCCGGTAGAAGTAACAGAATGTGAAATTACGGGCGTCAAATGATAAGCGCTGATGTTCTTTATGATGAAGTACAAAGATAATATTGTTCAAAATGTCACAGTCATCTTAAAGATATTCTTTTGCATAGAAAACCAAGCTGAAAAGAACCCGGATTAGTTCAAATGATTCACTTAAATCGAACTATTACATTGTAGTGACCAGCTTTCTTCTAATTTCCCGAAACATTCTTGCTCACATCTATTGCTCTTGATTAATGAAAATAAAGAATACCGGGTGGTGGTGAATTCACCAAGTCACAAAGTGGTGAGATCCACCCATTAGAATACAGTTAGGTGGATGGATGACCCGAAATGGAAGGACGATGGGATGGAAGTGGAAAAGTTGTAATTACTGTTAACACTGTTAATTGTTCAACAGGACTCAACATGACTGAGTGAAGCAAAATTTTGATATGATAACATATGATATTTATTTGTAGACAACTTTGATTACAGCTGAGTGGCGTGCTTAACAAACGCCAGAAGTTCAGGGGTAAAGAAAACAGTGTTTTCTGAAACATCTGTTAACTTCAACTCTATTTGGAGCGACATTACAAATCAACAATTCAAGGATCTCCTGCAAGTCGAATAATGAAATCTATGTCAGACTCCTGATAAACTATCAGAATGGAAGGCTTATAATGCATGGAGTTTTCTAGGAAAATATTTTCGCCTCAAACATCGTGTGAGTGAACACCAGCAAGCTGAGTGCCATTCAGCTACAACTTTGCTGGTATTTGTTTGGTGAACCCGGTGTCCTCTTATGTAAAACATTAAGGAGAATAAAAGTATGAATAGACTTTTGGACTACTATTCAAATATGTGATTCCACTAAGGTCAAACACTCAGGAACAGAGGATACTCTGCACTGAAAACAAATAAGCGCTGTAGGCAGATTCAGTATGCAAAATCAATATGGAGAATAATTAATATTAAGAGCGATAACTGGTGCATTGATCACCTGTTTTATGACGGAGTCTGAGAGGCATAGGGTTTTTAATTGAAATAGCTATACTACTAGTTATTAGATAGTAGACAATTTCTGTTTGAGGCATCATTTTGAGCGAAATTCCTGGAACCTTGTATCAATCATAAGATTTTGGAATGATTGATATTTATAACTGAGGTAAGTGTTGTCATTACCTCCTTAGAGCTGCGTGGTCCATCGGACAACTTTCCACATTCATTTCAAGTGATAAAGTCAGATTCTGGAAAATCTTGTGAATAAAGTAACCATCTTTATTTATGGACTCAACGGTAAGTACTTATTGAATAATTATAATCCCTGCTTTAGTATTTGTAGTTCAGCTGTATACCAGGAAAAACTTGTGCTCCAGAAGTGTGAGACTAATTTTATAGTGTATTGATTTCTGATGACCTCTGGCTGATTAATGCAAAGTCCAGGTAAATTTCAATGGAAATCAGTAATTACGGTTACGGAGTGACGACACAGTGAACAAAATTCACTGCGACTTGCAAGCAAAGTGGTAGTAGTAGTAGTAGTAGTAGTAGCAGGGTGAATGATGACGATTAAGCGAATGATAAGAAATCGAAAGCCTGAATAGCACTACCATGTTGCCAGGTAATGACAGAACATATAAGTCCCTACATAAGGTTCTAAATAAGTCTACATGCAGGATGTCATTCAAACCTACCAACTCACCATTCTAGCCGAGGATCCAAATTACCCAGTTACACAAAATAATATAACTTACTAACTACCATATAGAGATTATTAATTCAAATAAATCTGCCGAACCAGTGGATCGAGATCAGTAGGTTATTCAGACGATAGATTTGAGAATGATAAACTTGTCTAGTTTAAGTATTTTGCCAAATTATCGGTCGGCGTTATATATGTACGCATATGCGACCACACAATAGGCTGAGGTAGGACAAAATACTTAGATGGAGAGACAACCTAATCAGTGAACCTGTTTTGATTGAATCACTACCCATAACATGTCATCAGAATGACTCAACATGAGTCGGTAGTTACACTAGTCACTAATCAAGAAGAAGCAAAATTATGTCGAGGTGATATTAGGCTATCACATAAGCTCCATCTCTGTTTGTGTTGACACTGTGCACTCTTAAAATTTCTGAATTGTGGGTTCTCATAATTAATGAACATTCGAATTTCTTGAACAAAGCAAGAACTACAGTTTTAGCAGAATAATGTGGTACCATCATTTATTTCGAATTTCTTCAAGGTGGCGATCGATCCTGTGACTATACTGAGTTAAATTGAATGACCCAGTAACTCATAATAATCTGAAAATTCCTGTTCACTTCCAATGTTCACTTAATTTCTTATGTCGAAAAACTTCATTATCGAATAGTTCTCAGCAAAATATGAATCATTTTCAACCAGGAAGATATTATTCAAACGGTGGACATATGGTGAACATAGATGAAGGTGTCATGTCGATTTGGGGAAATTGGGATACGTTATCAATGAAGGAGTATGTTCAGCTACTGAGCGATCACTAAATGAGTCAGTTTCTTCTACATCCTTTCATACTTCTTTACAAATCTACAAATTCTTTTCTTGTACAGTTAGTGCTATTGAAGTGAAACAATCCTAACAAGTAAGTCATATGTTATTATTCATTGGTAAATAACAGGTGCTAATCATATATTACTCAATCCATGTTTCATACAAAAAATGTCTCTGAAAACTGTTTCATGAAATTACCTTCCACAGAAACGAGCAGAAACGAGGGAATAACCTTCATACTTAATCACATCTGGTTGACACTAGTCATCTAATCTGCATAATCTCTTCCTCTAAAGTCATCTATAAGGTGAATGATAACCTGCCAAAATAATCACGTATCTGTCTCATGTGTATTGCTGAGGCTTCGACTGTTGAAATGGAGAAGTCTGAGTTCTGTATAGTGAAGAAATATCTTCAACCACTTCTACTTTTATGGTTAACCTATTATAATCTTCATTTTACCTTGAGCCTATTTGTTTTTCCTTTGTTTATTTAATCTATGTACCCATGTTATAGCAGCCTTGTTAGCTCTATTAGCTTTACTATTTTCACTTTGAACGATTTCCGGTATCATCTCATTTGTCATTCCTTATTCGTTTAGTCCAGCATAAATTTTGTCGTGTTAAGCCTTCAAAATTTTCACATTGTTACGTAGTTTTAATTGCTTACTGGTCATGTTACTTCGATTCCCCTTTCTAAGATTTGTACATTCCACGGAGAGTTTGGTAAATTTCATAGGCGCTTTGAGAAGAGCCTCTCCGATGCTGCACATTTTTCGAATATTCTTCATGTTATGACAGTGATATTTGGCTTTCTAGAGGCAACTGATAACTATTTTACTTTAATCTCTTTAGGCGGTGGTGTTGTATAGGTGACAGACTACAGTGTCTAGAAATCGTGAGCTGGAATAAGAGGTTTATTAGTTGTCCCTCAGTTTGCCCTTATTCTTAAATTCATTTCGAAATTAGCTACACAAGGAGAAGTAAACATGTATTTTCCTGGCATATGAATTCATTAAAATGTCTGAAGTGAGCACTTTCGATATTCTTGAACATTTATTTCTGTAAACAAAAAGAAACTTTTCACTTTGTATTACATATTGTTCATCAAAATATTTTGTTTTAAACAGGAGATTTCATTGTCATACTTATAAAGGAACGTTCGTAAAGAAAAGTAATATTTTTGAGTGTCCAAAATCGTTATATTGTATGGACTACTCTAATTCTAATCTGCATAGCGTTCTGATCACATGTATATAATCGTTTGTATTTGGTGAAATTTGTTCTACATCATCACCACTGCCACCACTTGCTGGGTACATCCCATCCAGAATAATTCTCGAATCCATGCTTCTTCGATTTTGGGCTACTTCCGCATCCAGGGAACCAGAGGGAGACTGAATAGGCTGGAAGTTCTGAGTACTCGATGGGTTCTGGGTTAAACTTATTTTTGGACTTTTCAAAGAGGTAGGGAAGTGGATATTGTTTCTATCCCATGGCCATGTAATACTTACCCATGCAATAAAATCAGTCAATAATATGCTGTATATACTGTTTGACTTCTCTTTCGTCACACATCTCATATTTTCAAATAAAACTGGAACCAGCATGTTGTTCCATAGGTCAAGAAACCAATGTAATGAGGCATTATCATCCAGGGGCACTTAAGTGTGGATTGAACGCCGAAAATGGCACAGTGTTTTCTGTCAGTTATAGAACACAGGATTTCATTTAATTTCTTCCAAAACTCGGTTAACCAGAAAATCAACTGATAACACTTCCGATCCTTATTTGCACTGGCAGTAACATCTCCGTTTGTAAGTCCATGTGAACAAAACATTCGACTTTGAGCGAGATTTCTGTATAATACTCTTTCTAAATATTCTTGTGTACTCTTTATGTCAGGCAAATGATGCATAATCCTATTATTTGTAAAAAGGTAAAAGACAAGTCGAAATATCAGTTAGTTTTCACAAAATGTAGTGCTAAAAATGTTACCCATTATTATCAATAAATGAAATGCATTGTCTTCAAGTCAAACGAAATAATATGAACGGAAGAAAATCTGATTTCTTGATAAAGCGATTGTTAGTTTACTACAAATCGATATAAAAATGCAGACTGAAACCTTAAATTCCGAAAATCTTGAAAACGTTCCAAGATACATTTATTTTATTTTTTATTTCAGCTTGATTCCACACCGTAGTTTTGGTACAAGTATGGAATTTTCAGCGTGGACATCTGCAGCCCGAAATTCGCAGGCCGACCATAGATATCAGGTGTGCGTCGGCGAGGGCTCGAACCCCGACCATGTGCATGGTCGGCGAGAGTCCTAACCACTGTGCCACCGACGCATAACAGAAGTATATCGGTCTCTTTTTACTGTAATGTGGAGAGTAACAGCTGAGAATGTCATGAATGCCTTGAAACTAACTAACTAAAATTTCAGATTGTTTTCAGCAGTCACTTTCCTTATAGACTTAACATTTTATCTAGTGATTCATATAAAAGTTCTGTTTTCAAAATAAGCGGCGATTCACTAAAATATTGTGCAATCATAGAGGAAAGTGTTATGAACATTGGTCTAGATTGTTTTACACGTAGAAAGGGACTGAGATTAGGATATATGGACATTGTGATTAATCTGAAGGGTAATCATGTTAGTCTTGTTACACTTTCCCATCAGGTGAACTATGGGTTCCACATAAAAACACATATGCCTCCTGACCTTAATAGCAGGAGAAAGGCGGTTCAGTGATTGGGATCCACTCATTTTACAGGTCCACTTGGTTTTACCGGAAGACGTTGAAAGCACAGTGATGTAGGTGTAACTATGCAAACACTGATCCAAGTTGCGAATCCCAGTTTATTTCTAATCTTTTATATTCACTTAGTGTAGAGATACAGTGTATTTCATTAGCCACTTCCAACTAACAATAGTGATATGAATATGAGTGCATACACTGCTCTGGATTTGTTATTGTAGCAAGTAAGTGTAATTAGCGACAAAATTCGCTGTAGACCATAGTCATCATTTGAGCAGAAATAATATAATATTATTTACTCTATTGGATATATTTAGTTCATTTATCATTAGTACTACTCATCTAGTTTGCAGAAACACTGAAACACATCGGGATTTAAGATAAACATGTTTACATGATGGCTGTGATGATAAAGTGAACGATCAGAATTCAGCTGACTGACTTCACCAGCTTAAATACCTCTTTATACAGCAGTTAGTGTAGATTAAATCACCGAATTTTGTGTGACATTTAAGCTTCCGTCGATTGGAATAACACGGAAACTTGCAAAACAAACTTGACTTTATTGAATAAATCAAATAAATAATTCCATCAACAAACAGTTGCATTAACTTAAGAATTCAGCGAACTCACTTTATCTGATTGACGCGGCAAGTGTTCTCAAAATCTTTGTCCGCACTTTCACGTGTACCTATAATCTTTGGACTGAATTGTAGAAAACGAAATGTTCAATTTCAAGTTGATTATTCAAATACTCAGATTTTAAACCGTGGACATAATGTTACGCTGTCAAAAAAATTAACCTTAGACAAACCACTGCCCTAAACAACCTTGTTATGAGTAATTCTTCCATGACAAGATTAATAAATACTCGTGAAATCTTAATGTGACATATTAATTCAACTTCATTCATATCAAACAGTTTTGTATTCACTACTAGACTATGAACCTCTAACAGTGCATCAAACATCTTTTTATAATGTCATGTGATAAGTATTAAAAGTTGTACACACCTTAGGAGAGAGAAGAGACAGAATATCCGAAATCCAAAACTCAAAGGTTTGTTCTTATTCTCATGTTTCTACTGAGAAATGTCTGTTCGAGGTGATAGTTTCGGTCGAAATTGGTGAACATCTCCTTGTTTGGTTTGACTGGCTACTCAGGCTTTAAGGAATGTATTCATTATAACATAGAGATCATCTAGATAATCAAACTAGTTGATAAGGGAACCGGAAAGATTTGATGAAATTTGTATACCAAGTAGAATTCTTGGCTCTACACCGGTGGAATATTCATTTGCTTCCTCCCCCCCCTCCACCACCACATAGCGAATAGCAGTTAGTGGATTCTTTTGTGTCAACTAGACCCTGTGTGGTACACCTAATGGAATGCACTTAAATCTGACAGACACCTAATGTGTTAAACAGGGACTGTTCTCTAGTACCGATGTCAACTGAAGGATGCTCATGCTATGGTGATGTCATGCAGCTAGATGATTAAAGCTGATTCCTGGAGAGTGAGTGAAAAGTGAAGTATTCATTTTGAATATAGAAGAGTAGAGATCGACATTATGTGTGCTTATAAGGCATAAGTCTGTTACACACTGTCAATAGGTTGCTTAAATCTCTACAGTTGACAATGTATATTCAAATATTTCTGTAAATTTGGTACCGGTGGAGGGAATATTTAGACAGGAAACAAATTAAAACTAAAACATGACCTATAGCACAGGTGAACTCACAGCACATCTAGATAGTCTGATAGTCTTTTACTTCTTAAAAACCAACTTTTCACTGATACACCATGCGTGATTTAGGTAACTAAAGCTAAAGAATGACTGAGTTAAGATGTCTACCACTTGAGTGGAAATAAAAAACATACTGTAGCTTAATATGATTCTTATGAAGGTTTGTGCAGTTTCTGATTATTATTGGAATTCCACAGCAAGCCTGAATGGAAATTAAATGTCAGATAATCGAGTGTAAACTGACATTTTCATATATATATATATATATATATATATATATATATTTGTCAACTTATGCAGTGAATCAGAGCCGTAAACTAGACGGAGTGGAAATACGTATTGAAAAGTTGTACAGTGGTTATGTATTTGTTTGGCGAAGTTAATCAGTTATAAAGTAACATTAATGTTTATTTCACTAACACTCCAAATACACATTTCATGTCAAACTAATGAACGTTTAAAATAGTTTTAAGGAAGGTCCTTCACTGACCAACATGAATTCGACAAACGTTTGTCACTAACTTCAGACTCTTCCTCAGTGTCCATCCTAATAGTCACTTGGGAACTACCCCATCACGTTTAGACTACAAGGTATGCACTTTACCAATCAGTAAGTAGGTAGAAATTCAACGATCCGTGAATGACAGACTCCACTAAGTAGTGTGTGTGTGTGTGTATACTGATCGACCAGAGGATGGTGTAGCGTTATACTGCTAACTACAATAAGTCAGAATTTGTGTGTCATTCAATTATAACTCGGTGACTGAATGGTAACATGCTTGACTCATACATAGCCTGAGCGTTCTCGGCGTGAATAAGGATGCCGTTATGGGTGTACACTGGTGATATTAAATCCTCAAAATCACAACATTAAATTTCCAGCTGAAATTCGAAAGTAGGCAGATGCACTACTGTAACTGGTAGTAATCAGCATATGAATGCAGTCAAAATTTTATCAAAATACAGCTGATAGAAGTCAGATGTGTTTAATCTCTTACTGCTATATGATCTGCTTTAAATTAACTAAATTAATTACTAGTTCTGTAGCTTATGTTGCACTAACGGTGCTGTCTGTAAGTGAATATTTCCCAGTCATTTCAGCCATTTTGTTGTCAGTTGTTTGTCCTTTTACGTGCTCAATTATTAGACTTAGAATTAACGTGGAAAATCGACGTTTTTAAGCGACTGATATAGTCAGTGTATCAACCGAAATAATTTGTGGCGATTAGGGAATAACTGTTTGATTTAGTAGGTGAGTTTATTTATACATTCTCTATCTCATTGCGCTCTTGTAACATTAGAAATTCTGAGAGGAAGTATCATTTCGAAAAATTTATGTACAAAGTACTGGTGAAAATATCCCACATTCTTTGGTCGCGCTACAAGTATCAGATGTAGGACGACAACTGAGTCATGAATTCCAATTCAATCACTACAGAGAAAGAAAGTTCGGTAGCTATTTACCTAAACCTCACTCAAAGGGAAGCAGACTTTTCGTCTACGAGATTGTGAGTCACATTTATTGCGAAGGAACTTAAAAGAGCATGGTTAGTCTACACATGGACAACCCATTCTAGATATAATCTGTAACTTGGAACATCACGCCACACCTAGTTGATAGGCTGACGCTCAAGTGATAGTATACGCTGTATTAGATTGCATAGAGGTAAAACTGAGAAGAAGAAATTTATTGTTGGTTCGATCTGTTTCCCCTAAAGACCAATCATAGCAGCAAAATTTGACTGTTTGACACTTGAGAAATATAGTTGTGACTAAGTAATACTGACAAAAATATCCAATCTCCATCTGCGTCATGGATGTAACATATTTTCTTTTTATACGCGGCTTATTTTTCATACATGTATCATCGTGACATTCGATTATCGATTTTGAAGTTTTCGTTCTGGAATGACCTACCTCAGATATTATGATACTCGATGATCTTAAGTTATGCATAACTTTATAAAGTCCGGCACTAATGATTCCTTGGGTCTTTACACAGGTCTCACGAAGGCTGGTATCTCGAAATGCACAAAACGTTCTCCTATTATCCCTTCATCCTACGACATATAAAAGTGAAATTAATTAGCCGGAAAAAGACACTGATTAGTGAGTTTCTTCAGTCTATCTTACACACGTATATGTAACATGGCTTACCCTTTTGGTGAGGCATTCAAAACATTTAAAATATCCAAGACGGATCCTTGGAAAAGATGCATATCAAATAAGTTTATGACTTTGGGGAAACCACATTTCGAAAAGGATGATAACTGTTTCCTGAGTAGCTTTTTGATTTCCTTTACAGTTGGACTTTTGTTATTTGTAAACCGGAAGTTGTATATTGCCTTTGAATAACACGAACTAGAAAAAGAATTATACAACAGAAATCGGTAAGTATTTAAATAGTCTAAAACAATAGGATAGTTAAAGCATTACTTCCAAGACACTAGTCATGTCAAGCGATGCAGATGTCTTAGCACTCTGATGCAGTTCATGAATTATGTAATGCACATTTCTAAATATGTCAAGGGTTGCAGAGGTCTTTTCAATCCGCCATAGTTTGTAAATTGATAATATATATATACGGCCAGACTTTACACTTTTATTCATTTTATGACCTTACCTCAGATGCTAGTCAGCTGTTCTGGCATGTCTCAATCCACCTGATGGTTTAGTCAACTATTAGGTGATGGAAGTTGGGTTGACTTTTGTTCAATTGCTATATTTAAGTGTTTAATCGATGTGTTCTTCAGTCGATATTGCAAATACCTGTGATTTCTTCATTCGATAGATTACCCTCTGTTATCCCTAGATCATCCTTAGATCTATTCAATCAAAAATGACACATTTCAACAACTGGTGATCATCTAAGACTTGGTGCTATTAATACTGAAGTAACTCCATTAGATTTTACCTTTTTAGTGTCAGTATGAGTAGAAGTCTTGGTGTTCATCTGGACGCCATTATTTTCCGTATAATTCATGGAGGAATAATACAAAACTTAATGTAAAACAATCTCAATTCATAAAGTTCACTTACTCATATGATAAAATTTTGGCCAGATTATTCACCAGATGTGATTTTCCAGTTCCACTCAGTCCACAGATTATAATGAAATTATTTTCTTCAATGACAGATAAGTAAGACTTCAGTGTATTATACGGTACTAAACTTGTAAAACATCCATAGTGCAACATGTCAGTTTTCTCAATGACATTTTGATGTAGCATTTTATTCATTCTTTTCAATGGTGAGTTCGTAGTACGACCTCGCAAATCTATTTCTATGGATGCGTTAAAGTACTCTAAACCATGTCCCTTGGTGGTTGCATTCAACCACATAACAGGGAACTGTGAATAAATTTCTCTGTTTATGTGACAGCTGGTTTCCAGTGTTGCTGTCACAGGGAGTTGGGAATGATTCTGATTTGTTGTAAATAACGGTTGTGGCGGTGCTGGTGGTAGGATTCGTGAGAAACGTCTCACAATGCTCTCTGTTTTCTTTATATTCGGATATTGGTAAATTGAATTTAGCTGATACGCCTTTAGTTCCAGTGAATTAAGTTGCAGTCGTTCATTGGGATCCAGGTAACTGATGTAACACTATATGGAAATAAAGACAATAATTTGAAGGGCTATTGCTTAACAGAGTTAAAGAAGTATGCATACTTGAAATACTAGATGACTTTAGTGGTGGTGGTCAAGAGTGAATTTGCATCTAACTGTAAGTGAAATATTTGATCCAAAATTGAACAGCTCGGTAATAGCCTTTCTAGAATATGTAAAACAACTGAGAATCAGATAACCCTGACAGTTACTGTATCCTAGTCTACAGTGTTAAACAGTGAGGAATAGGAAGCCACACATTGAGAACCCAACTGCTCCGGAATAGATTTGATGTACATCGATTAATTCCTGATAAACAAATAAATGAACTTAATACTGTTCATAATATTGAAGTAGACCTGGTCACTAACACAAATCAGTCTGAAAGAGGTGTTAATCGTTGGTCAGTAGGCAGCTGTTCATCAGTGTGTAGGAGCAATTTAGCCAGTTGTTGAGTTCAGCTAACGGAGTAAATATTTTATTATCTATCCACCAAGTCAAAATCTAGTAACTGACATATATTTGTTTTGATTGCTATCAGTCCGTGGTACACTACAACCTTAGTTAAATATCATCGGCAAGTAGTTGTATTCACAAGTTGAATATGAATTTATGTAATTAGTGTATAACAAACAAATAATAGCAATTGTATCAGGACACTATAAGGCAATACGAGGAGATCGAACAGAAATAAGGCAAGCTAAGCAACCAGTCGAATGAAGATAGTGTAGAATGCATTCAATCTCTGGTAAAATTAATTTACTACAACAAGCACTAGGGTGTGCAGATCCCAAATAGGAAAGTGGAAATTCATTCAACAACCTAACAGCCTCCTCAATGAGTATCTAACCTCCCTCGATTTGTTTCCACGTATTTATAACGCAATAGGTTCTTGATTAGTCCGCTGACTACCTGAGTTCCTTGTTGCTTATCCTTTCTAGCCGTAAATCTGATTTTCCGTATCAAGCAATCGAAGGTAGGCGCTGATGAAGGCGAACAGCAGATTTGTGGAGATGTCTCTGATGACACGCTCCAGGTAATGGCCAGTTCATGAGGCAAAAAACATAAGTCCCCTGTTAAATCCAGATATTCTAGGCTATCGTTATCTGTTCAACTTGAATCCATTTAATAACCTCTCCACAGTGTGCTGAATGACGCAGTTCACCAAAATCATGAATATTATCATTGATAGTGGCGAGGCTTCTATTTCATATGCCATGAGATCCAATACCTCGATGTGGTTTCTCTTGTGAATTACTTGGAATTCGGCATCATCGTATCGCTGTTGGATGGAGTTTATAAATGTGTGTGGCACTGCATTTCACGGTCATGGAGAAGCTGTCAAATTACTTTTCAATCTATGTTGTCGAAAGACTTTTCAAAGTCGGCGAAGTTGAAGTATAAAATTAACTGTCATTCAAACCTCTGCTCGATGATGATATGTTATGCTATGATTTCATTTATTCCTCTTGAATCCAGCTATTTCTGGGCGAAGTTTTCTGTCAACAGCCTCATTCGGGCACTAGGGCTCGATCTATATTCAGACGGTACTTACTGCTATTGTCACTTTGATATCTTATTGCACAAATTTATAACCAATACTTACTTGTGTTACTGCACACTAATGACTAGAATAAATCTCACTTGCTTCCATAAACCTACAGCCAATTAAGTGAGGAGAACACATTGTGTCATACTGTGCTCAAATAATAACAACAGAACAGATTTTTCTCCATCTTTATTCTTATTTCAGTGAACAAAGAGAAATAATAAAAGCTTCACTAATTTTATTGCCTTACCAATCTATTTCTTCAAAGTTTTGTCCGCTTTTTACCATGCTTTTATGTTCAGGGATTATTGGCCGTATAGACCTAGCATAACCTTCTTTTAACTTTCGATGGACGAATATAAAAGCAGTGTAATGGATACTTGGATTTACACAGCTATGCAGTGCTTAGTGCTTGGTGGTTCGCACACCGGTATTATGGAAAGATCTGGACTACAGAAAATAGAAAGAAGTTTGTTTTATAATTTAGGCACTTACAAACCCATATACCCACCTGAAGTAGTTCTTGCAGTACTTCATCCAGCTCATTCCAAGTCATATCATCCCGTAATCCAACGCATCCTATTTTCAGTGATTTTTTCGATTCTGAATCAATAATGATTTCTTCAGTGTTCACAAGGACTGGCACAAAATAACGACTATGTTTGCAAAATTTAGACGACAAATCTAGTCAATGTGTCATGAAAGAAGATAAAGAAATAACTCGGATTACTAAGTATTAACCACGGGATGAATAAGCTTTATTGAACTAATACGGACATTGTGTCAATGGACAACTGAATATAATAAAACTGGTTATAGTTCGCTTTCTGTCTTCTTGTACATTCAACGGATTGAAACAACGATGATGATGACTGTAAAGTGACCTAATTATCGTAAGACCAAATTGGTTCTTATATATATATACATTAGCACTCTGGCTCATTCAGGTGTTGAGAAAGAAGTATTACTGACATGTCCATGAATGAGTATGTCACTCAATAGAAATGAAATCTGGACTTACATTAAGCATGCAGCTAGGCTTGCATGTAGAATTTATTATTTTATTTTGGAGTATCTGCTTGAAAATGAGCATTTTTGTCTAAATTAATCTGTCGCCTAAGCAATAAATAGAAGTCCTAATTAGTAAACTGTTGTAAAAAGAACTACCTGAGTTGATTTCTCGTGAAATGATGCTTTCGATGGGACTTAATCTTCATCTTTAGTTCCAGTTGACATCAACTTCAAACGAGACTTTTAATATTTGAAGGGATTCATGTAACTGATATTCGCATTATCAAATCTGATTATATATTACAAGTGATATAGTATTGAAATGCTCATCTCTTGAGTATGTGGAATAAGATATTCACAATTTCTTAAAATCCTGTGTGAACTTTATACTGCAAATAGTGATAAGATTTGAGACAGGAACGTTCTTTCAGTAGAAAATAAATTCCGGACGAGTGTTTTAATACCCTCCTTAATTATGTATATTTCATTTTCCCAAATAGATTAGTATGACCATGTTATGTCATAGGTGCATACTTTAACTTGAATATTTTGATAACTCCTGCTCTCGAAACCGTTTCTTTTCCTCATATCATATCATAATCATATACTAACTTAACATATGCTGTCTGAATGTCTTTCCTCTACGTAACACGGTCAAGAATAAAGCTGAAATGAAAGCCCATATGGTTGTTATTTATAATGTAAGCTGATCGAATTATGATGTGATTTAATTTTTATTTTGACTCAGGTGTGTGTGTGTGTGAATGTTAAATTCTTCGCTACGGTAGACTTATAAATTGTTTTATGCCTTAACCTTGATTCAGAATTCATTGTATCGCGTTAGCATGTCTGGGCATTACTCTGTTGAACAGAACATTTCTGTGATCATCAATATGTATTAATTGACATGTGTTCCCTAGACAAAACGATGTCTTAATATATATCATTTAAGTGATCTGACAATGAATTTGTTTAATAATAACGACTACACTCTTGTAGTAGTACGTAATCTAAATACGGAAATGTATTAAAGAAGAATGTAACAAATACCAGAAGGTTGGGATGAAGATAAAAGTCAAGCTTGTAGTACACTTGAATCGTTTTCACTGCCGGATTCTAGACACTTCATTAGAATTCCAATGATTAAAATGAAAGTGAGTCATAGCGTTTTATTTGGACAGAACGTGAGCATTTCGATGAGGTAGAAATCCAGAGTAGAATAATTTATGAGACGCAGTATTATTGTCTGCTTTACATGAAATCTATTCTATCATGCTGAGGATTAAACACGTCTTGAGAATGACGATTCTGGTAAGCCGAGATATACAACACAAAATAGGGATTTTGTAAAGTCATCATTTGAGAAGTTGTATAAATCGTATGTCTTTTCTGTTTAGAACACGACACATTCTTTATATTTGGAGGCTTGTGATACTATTTAGCCGACTTGTGTGAAGTGAAAGAGTTCAGATTTGAATCTTGAAACTACTAACCAGAAAATACATCATTAACTCGAACTCACAATAGTATTGCATTGTGTTAAGAAAGATCAATTATTAGAAGAAAACAAACCTGATAAAAACACTTTTCTGTTGGTTCCTTCCAAACGAAATTCATTGCATAGAAGTTCATCATCAGGATTATATTTCAATACGGTTTCCTGTAGTTTTTTGTGTCTTGCTTCAAGCAGATCTATCCTACATTGCAATCGACTGATTGTCAGATAAAGTCGATCCAACTGATTGTCATCGTTCGATTTCTGACTGATTTGGTTAGACTGCATACTGGAAATAAAAGACATTTTTTAAAGGTTGAGATAATTATGAAATGTGTAGCAATTTATTCAGTGGACAATTTGTAATAGAAAAACAGATAGCCTTTTTTGCTTCCCCGATTCTAACTCCGATATACTCATCCGTGCCTTGTGTAGTTTAGAATGTACTGCCCAGCTACTTCGTTACAAGCGATTTTATGAATATCAGTAGTGGCAAAATTCATACTGGATGGCAGGTGTATGTATTCAGACAGAAAAAGTGGTTAGGCATTCAGTTTCTAGGAGTTTTATTCATCCTCTTGAGCTATAAATCGACTCCATTATTTCCCTTCTAAGAATAAGATCAATTTCGTTTACGTCTTCGTATTTTCTGGTTTCTGTAGAAAGTTGATAGAAGTAAACATGTGTTTTATATATTTGTTACACTATTAACCATTGTGTTCGTGAGCCTAAACTATATTGATTTCCTTTAATGAAACATGGTCTATTTAAAGCAAAATGCCGAATAGAGTGCGAAATTATAGAGCACTTCAAATTACATCTTGAAAGTTTTTTATAAATTACTTTCACACTTAACTCAGTTTAGTTAAGATTTTTTGACAAAGCAATACAGGTTCCGGGAACAACTGAAATTATGCATGGGCTCTGCTGTATAGATCCAAAACAATGAGAATAAGATATGAAATTCACTTCCTTTTCAATGGATCTTCAGACGACTGTCGGTTCTGAATGAAATCCACTCGAAAATCGATTGATTCTCGGCAAACCTTACAACCGATTAAATAATACTGACTAACTACTTCATCTAAGTGATCGATATTAGTGTACACTTAAGCTTTTTCAACTGTCCTAAATACAAAAATATGACAATAAGTCAAAGGATCAATCACTCTGAGTGGTCTAAATTAACTTACTTCGTAATCGTAGTGTCATTTATTGTACCCTCTGAATTGGTTGATTGTGTAGTCGACCTTGTGCGTTTTCTAAACGCTTTGGCTATGGATTTGCCCAACTACAAAAACATGGTTGAAAGATTAAAAAAAGTGTGTAAGGGTAAGAGATACGGACTCAATTTGTGGGTTTCAAAGTCAGTTATGATGAACCTCTGGATCTAGGATTGGTTGAACTTATCATCAATTATGATGTAGAGAATTCAGAATATCATTTTCTACTTGCATTATAAAGTTAGGTGAACTTGCGTTGAAGCTAACAAGTTCGTTATTCAGCCATTCGGGTCTAATGAGCTTCAGTGTTGTGAATACGACTAATTTACAAGTGCTAGCAAACTTTGCTTTCACTTTATACTAATATGATAATAACAGTTCACAATCGCCTGCAATCACTTTGCTGATCCGATTACACCATTAGTCTTATCTCAGGATTAGAAAAATATGCTTTTATTCGTCCAACAAGGAATTACTAAAACTAAGTCTGCTTATTCTAGGTTTTATATCCCTGGGTTTGGCCTCACACAAGCGTATAACCCTATAACGACTTTATTCTGAAGTTATGGAGCACTTTTGTATATTCCTTTTGTTGTGAGGACTAAATTTTCTTTAGTTGTTGTCTCTTTGAACATTCCCGTAAATTCAGTGCTTGTTTAAGTTGTTTCGGTCCATATATATTCATCAATGCATTCAATTGTTTGAACTGTTGTCAACAGTCAGTGTCCTTTGGTTTTAAAGTTCCGGTGGTATATCAACAGTTATGGTTGACTATTTTATCAACCATTTAAATAGTTTTAGTTAGCACACAAGTTTCGTATTGCACACAGGCTACTAGCTCGTATCAGTGGTCATATTCTCATACTAGTGGAAATATATTTTAAATACAAGTAAATGTTCTATTGACGTCCTGTCACTACTTGAATTTGAGGAAGAATAGATCATCTGGCGTTTTAAGGCTTCAAGTTGTTGTTTTTGATTTTGAAAGGCCTATAGTGATGGCAGATCACAATACTAATTTCATCTGCGTACACTATGTTTTTTGATAATGGAATGTTCAAGAGTCGAATGTTTGATCCCTATTGCGATTATAATGCAAAGGTGGCGTGAAGGGAAACGGCACACAAAATGACAATAATAAGTTTCGAATGAAGTTAGACTAAATGCAGATTAATTGTTGTGAGGAGATACTTAAACAAGAATGAATATTCAACAAAAAGGAGATATTGGTAAATGAAGTATCATAATTCAAATTAACGACTTACTTAGTAATACTGAAAACCAACCAGATTGTTACTCTTCAAACATTCATTCTATTCACTGTACTCCAGCCTAACTCCCTCATTTGAAGTTAGTTTGACGATTAACTCGTGATTAATCCTAGTCAACAACAATCTCTGACTATTATCAGGTTCATTCTTGGCTCCATGTATCCCTATAGTGATAGCAGAAGATAGCCTCAATCATTTGACCTGAGACCATGTAGTTCTCACTGACCAGGTAAATGACTCTTCCCTGAGGCTAGGTACTTGAACTGCACATTCGAGTCTCCAGCTAGCACTATGATGTCTGTTGAGTGTGTGTGCTTAAGGTCACTCGGTAGATTGTAGGAGTCAAGCGACCAACTGTTAGTGAGTACTCAGAGAATACAGGTATAATGATCATGAATCAGGTGGGTGAGTGCATGACTAGTGGAGTAATTTTCGAGATTATATTGGCAAGCGGAGTTCCCTACTGATTTTGTGATTCCGAGATTTGTGTTAAGTGAACCCTTGTTAACTAGCTCGCCATTAAATTGTTCTTATACTGATAATCTTTTTCCAAGGGCCAAATGAAGGTCATTTCCAAAGTTTCACGATTCTCAGTCGAGAAAGAAGTTTGGCGATCATTACCCGTGATATGTTCTTGTTTTATGGATTTTGGTTTAGAACGAACTGTTTTACTTTGAAATGACGCCAGTGAATATATAATCTTCGTAGTGCAAAAAATATTGACATAACTTGAAGGCAGCTGTAACTGCCAGTAAAACAAGTGCACATTTAACAACGAGTATTATGAAGACGATCAGAATTAACGCCAGTGTTTTCCGTATGCAAATGAATAATAGTTATCATTATCTGAAATGACCATGACAGATTTTAACGACAGCATTTTGTCAGGTTTAGTACAACCATTCGAATTACGTAATAGATTAAGCAATCTTAGATTTCTGTGTTGTTTGAAACTTCTCTCTAATGAGATGGGTTTGTAGTGTTTCACTGAAATTTAGCTTCAACACATCAACCATTTCTCCCTTTAGAAAGTAACAGTTTGACGAATCATCAAAAGTTATCATTACAGTGAGAAAAAATATGATATTCAAGTACCAATACTTGAATATCAATGAGATGCTCACTGGCGACTGGCCCTATTCAGGTAGGTAGTTACCTGGATTCCAGTGGGAAGTCGTGCCCAGTAGGGTGCCGCAGGTCAAGTGTGAGGACAAATAACCGCCGAACACATTGGCTAGCGGTTGCGCTATATCGTGAATTGGCAGAAGTTAGAATTCAAGGACCATTGTATCGGGTCCCAGTAGCTTAATGGTATACGAGCTAGCTCTCCTTGTAACCAGAAAGTTCTGGGTTCAAACCCTGGCGGTGGATGCGTATCGATGAAGAGTCCCGAACTAGGACGAAACAGCCATCCAGTACTATCAGGTATTCCAATGGTTCTCTAACTAAAGTCAGCTCATGATGAAATACTGTGACATAATAAATATAGGTTTACTGTTGATTAACTTAACAGTACATGGGGGAAGTGACTGACCGTTGGGTTAGTCAAATTGAACCTAAGGCTTCCACCAGTAGAGATCGGTAGGCGACTATGGAGGTTAGCCACCTATCAGCTGTTTGTTGCGGTAGATCCTGCATCTTTTATGCATAAGCGACTCAATTTAGACATTAGAGACCAAACAGTATATAAGATGGAAGACACTTGTATCACAACGAATACATTCCTTTCACATCTTTGACTTTCGAACGTCAAACACAATATCTTCAAACGCAAAACAAACTGATGAGTGTGTCTTCTGGACAAGTTGAATTTTTGCCCGTTGACTGCGACATTCGCAGTTACTAAGTGTCATGCAGGGTACACTGTATTTTCGTGTAGATGTTTTGAACCACGTGGCCATCTGTGTTGACGAACTTTATTAATAATTTTCAGACGAACGGTCTAGTCAACTAGAGTGCGTTTTTCAGCTGGTGGCAGAAACTGGCTGTTGAGAACCACTTGTAGAGTCACACTTAAAGCTCAAATTAATCACACACACACACTTATTTTCCTAACGCTTTTTCCCATATTTTTAAGTTGGTGGGAGACCTTCACTTCCAAATAGCTGGAAATCGTCATCTGTGCCTCTAGTTATAAATAGAAAAAAGATTGAAATCCGAACTCACCCATCTGGACTGTTTAGTATAGACTGTCTGTGTCTCCAACGTTGAAGCGTTATTCCCAATAGAATAGGAGCAGTTGTCATGTTTCTTTGGATCTGTGGGCATGGTTTGACCGCCGGCACTTGTGCCACTTGCAACGCTACTCAAGCTTACAGCATCTTGATCATCTGAAAAGTTTAAAATATGAGGCGGCGAAGAGAGATTAAAAGGTTTTTTGTTGAAATATGAGATATTGCGCTTTTTAAAAATAATCCATTCATCATCTGATTGCCTGTTACTCAATGCTTAGACAGTAATCTGTATTTGAATGTAAAGTGATGGACAAAGTGAGAGTCTGTTTGCCACTGTAAATGCATGATGGCTTTCTCGTCAAATCCCTAATTCCATGTTGTTCTCGTGAGCACTGATGCCATCTTTATTGCACATGGTTCAAAATATTTCAAAATGATTCTTCATGATAAATGGAAGTCGCTCGTGTAGGCAATAAACACCGGGTAGATTTATGCAGCTGACGTTGATGTACGGTGAGAATATGTGACTCACATCAGTTACTTTTCCATAAAGATCTACCCAGAAAAGATGTTGATTATTAGGTTTTGATAACTAAGTATTGTGTTTTCCTGTTTCGTATGTAAGTTTCCATGATGAAGTGTGGTGATCTTAGCAACAGACGCATATTAACTGTGGTCGGCCATCTATTTTCTAAGAACAGCGACGTATAAGCCTATCACAGCGACGAAAACTATTCGAAGAATCTGAATCAAAATCTTTTCTTACTATTTTGTAAAGGTTTGAAGTAAACCACGAGTAATTTAACCACTTGAAAAAGTTCCTATCAAATGCACTGAGTGCATAAAATGAAGTGGGATGGTGGGGGAGGGGGGATGTTAAAAGTGAAGTTTCACCGAAGTAAATTAATTACGATTAATTCTCTTTTATACTTCTGATTTGACCTGCACATGATATTCGTCTTATTTTATGCTCTGTTGGTGTTTTACGATTCACTCTTACATTTCATTGTTGCTGTGTTTCACGTAACTCAATGGTCGAACACTTTGACATGTCATTTATCAGCCTGTGAGCTGCGAATGTATTCTAGTAATCATCCTGAATATCTCACTTGTGAAATATTTGTACATTTTGATGCAGCGCATAAGGATTTCTTAACGGAACAACATTTGCAAGTCCAATAGCTTCGAATTAAAGAAAAAAATATAAGTATTTAAGTGTTGGTTTGTAGGGATTTGATTGGTTTCAGGATTTCATCATGAGCTGACTTTAGTTAGAGAACCATTGGAATACCTGATAGTACTGGATGGCTGTTTCGTCCTAGTTCGGGACTCTTCATCGATACGCATCCACCGCCAGGGTTTGAACCCAGAACTTTCTGGTTACAAGGAGAGCTAGCTCGTATACCATTAAGCTACTGGGACCCGATACAATGGTCCTTGAATTCTAACTTCTGCCAATTCACGATATAGCGCAACCGCTAGCCAATGTGTTCGGCGGTTATTTGTCCTCACACTTGACCTGCGGCACCCTACTGGGCACGACTTCCCACTGGAATCCAGGTAACTACCTACCTGGATATCTGAATATCATGAAAGCATAGGTTTCCATGAAGCTTTATGAATTCCTTTGTGACATTTTCCGGAAGGTAAGGAGTCTGAAAATTCTCTAAAATTTTCTTTGTACATATTGATCAAGTTTCCTTTACCATTAATATAGAGAACAACAAGGTGTTCACAGAATCTAAACTCACCTTGGTACATAGTATCCGGAAGTGTACGACAAGACGCCGACCTTGGTGGTTTTGGTTGAAAAATAATGGCCGAGGACTTGCTGTCCTTATCTTCACCGCGTATATGATTTATAATGCTTTGGAGCTCTTGTATCTCAGAGTTCTGACAAAGAAATTATAATCAAATGGGCAGACAGTTTTAGACGTCAAATACCAACTCAAATGAACGGTTAGTGTAAATATTAGAACAATAGGCATTATTCTCAGTATTCACTAAAGATGGTAACTAAAGACAGATATTTTGTTAAAATAATAACTGTCGAGATACTGCCATAACGTAGTATGATAGAACTAATCCTGAAGTTTCAGTTGGATGCACTTCCTTCGATAAGTTCATCTCTACTTCTTCATAAACGTCTTTCAACGACAATGTCTAATTATGTGAATTCCAATGGTTCAATATTCTGTTTCGGAAATTAAGGTTTGTGATATATTTGTCATCTTATAGACATATACAGCTGTCAACAATTTAAGGGCTGAATTTTTTGTAACTATGGAATTTTGCATTGTCTATCAGTTTTACACTGCTGAACTTTCTAACAGGTAACTTTTGGATGCTGTGGTTCTCAATTATAGTGTATTATGATATGCCATTCCATATCATGGTGCCTTCTCATTGTAAAATGTGTTATTTGGTAGTATAGACAGAAGATTTAGAATTGAGACTGTTATAGTCACTGTTTCAGAATTATGAGTCTGATGATACTTCATAACATAGCACCGAAACATCAAATTGTTTTTGTGCTGTGCATGCTTATTTCATCCTAAACAATACATAACTATAGAACCTGATGAAGAAGTTATCGAAAAGAATATTCTTTGTTCACTAATCCTCTTCTCATAATTTTAGAGGGCATTTCAGACCAATCAAAGGAAGAGGTAAATTTTTAGACCTAATATCACATATATATATATATATATATATATATATATATATATATATATATATAGGTATAACTCTCCTATCGAATTAATTAAAATTTACATTGTCAAGAAACTAACTTTCATAATTTCTAAAGCTTCAAGTTGTTCAATTCGATCCGTCATATTTGCTACATTATCTTTTAAGGCTCTAATCATAATGTCCTGTATAGAAAAGAAAACACAGAATTGAGAAATTAAAGATCATTCAGGATTAACTTTCAGTATCACTAGTTCTTCGTAGAAATACAAACAGTACTGTGTTTCGATACGAAGAGCTGATCGATTTTCACTGATCTAATTATTAATGTTGTCTCTAAAATTAGTGTTTGTGTTTTTTTTTTATAGAAAAGGTGTATAGGATGTAGATTCTAGAAAGAGAATTCATTTCTTTTGATATAAGTAGAGACTTTTCAAAGCTGAAAACGGTTACAGCAAATTTTGTCAGGCAGATACTCGTGAATTGTTCTTAAAATTTTTCATAACTCTACTTACTAGTATGAATTTAACCAGAGTTAAATATGAAGTAAGCGCGTGTGCATTTTACCTGCCGTTCGAAGTCAAGTTCAACATCGCTAAACATTTCAGTCACTTCTCTATTAACTAATATAAGCGCTCAACACATGCAGGTGAATAGTATTGTTTACCAGGTCTAACTCTAATATACATAACTTTACAAATAAATATATTCCAGTCATTGTAATTTGGCAACAGGATATTAAGATTGTGCAGGTAAATTGTGCACTTATTCATAATAATAATAACAATAATTTTACCAGAAACAAAGGTTAAAAATTGAAACAATCTCTGATAACAAGAAAAATAACAAATAAACTATATTTTAATGCATATGTCAAAAGATTAACGAATGATAAGAGAGAGAGAGATTGAAAATATATGTAAGCAGTGGTGATATTAGTTAGCTGGTTCTTAATAGGCCAGTAAAGAGATAATAGCTGCATGAATTTCTTTTGAATTCATAGTTTAGGCCTATTAGCTCTAATGTCTACCGCCTCAGCTACATGCAGTCGACGTATACAGAATCCATTGAAAAACATTCTGTGAAACGTGTTGAATCACCTGGAACGCCTTCTTTTTCTGCATCAATGACCATTATCAACTAAATATGACAAAACGGAGTCACGGATGCTGTCGTTTGCGAAACCAAAATGGGTATGTTGGCTAAACAGGTCTGGTAGCACGCCCAATACAACTGTCTCCATAGGAGCAGTTGACTTTAAAAATGCTCATAGAGGCGGTTAAACTATCTACCTTTACTTTCGTTTGAATCCTAGTCATTCATCAACTAGAAAATGATAAACAAAGCTTCACTGTGTAAAATGTTGTGCGTATACTTCTGAAAGGTCTCTGGAACAAAATCTCACTTGGGAAGCCCCCATTAAATTGTAAATTAAAAAATAGAGGTTTCATTCCCACTGTCCTAGGTTTCCTATGCAATAACGTCAAGTTTCCTAAGGGAACTACTCAGATAGCCGATCTTCGTCAAGGAATAATGAATATATTCAAATTGCTTTTGTAAGTGACAATCCGTAAGACATTCCATAATATTTCTTTTTTATACAGTGGGCACATAAATAAGGAAATGCCTGTATTGCCCTGTAAACGTGCTTTTCTTAAACACGCCTTTCCCGAGTGACCCTTTTCCTCACCTACTTTGCAAGATATCCAGAAAATGGTCAGCGACCTAATTCATGCTAATTTTTGTCTTTCACTACACCAGCTATATTGTTTCTCCTCACTGTCATCATTATCATTACAGTTACTCTGCAGTTTAGCACCACGCTCTGATTCACATCTTGTTAGTAGGCTTGAAACCAATGGTTCGTAGTGAGATTTCGTATAAGAATAGAAATTTGGATAAAATCTCTCCATTGCACAGAATATTTTCACCTGAATACCTCAGAATGTCTTACTGGGATACTGATGATTATGTAATAAATTCCACTTCAGAGATAACTAATTAATTGATGCGACACTCCCTTGTTTAACTGTTCCTTCAAGTGAGACAGGAAATGAGTGCAAAGATAAAGATGTATTTATATGTGTGTGTCTGTGTGACTTGGTGTGGCCATTCACACTGTTTCCTTAATAAATGAATATTCACTGATATTCCCTTTGCAACCATGACTTATCCAATCAGTAAACAGTCTGTTCTATTGGTCAGACTGTCTTTTTTCACAGATCTAGGTATTTCCTTTCCATTTCTCTTTTTAAAGTGCATAATTAGGCGTAACATTATATGGTTTTATATATGATGTATGTTTCTAGGAATATATGCCAGCCAAGTAGCCATGCAGACAGTCGATGTATTACCTAGTCAAATCATTAAACCGATTCGTAAATATGAATCTATTGCTAATAAGTTCATGATCATATGTCAGATGTGTACTAAAGTGAAGTAGTTTGCTAACTGACGCCTTATTACTGTGTATACATGAAGTGAAGGCAACTAAAATGAGTTTTCAGGAACAATTTCTATATAATTTAAAGCCCGTCCTTGGTAGTCAGAAAGATTCAGTAGTTGAGGGGAAGCAAATACTGCAACAGTCGTTGAACTGAACCTTCAAATGCATTGTTTTGTTTCTTTTGTAAAGAACAACAAGAACTCGGAAATTAGGTATGACAACTAGCGGTTGAAGTGATTCTGAGTTGTAGATGAAGTCAGTCGTATTTGAGTAGTCAGTAAAGCCTAAAGTTAATAAGTCAAACATCATAGGTTTGTATGCCTTTGCCACTTAGGATTTTTTCATCTTCAGTCATTACACCAGTTTAAGTTCGACACAGATTAAGCCAGTCAAGGATGACAATGGGAAGTCAATCACCAAGGAGGTGGAACAAAGAAAACACGGGGCTGAACACTTCAAAAGACTTATAAGTCGTCCGCCACCTACAACGCGCCCAACAATACTAAACACGGAAGCAGAACTACCAGTGAACATTGACCCCCCGACAAAATCAGAAGTCCTGAATGCAATCAAGATGCTAAAAGCTGGGAAAGCAGCAGGACCAGATGAAATCCCTGCAGAAGCTTTGTAAATAGACCCAGAGACAACAGCGGAGTTGATGACGCCATTGTCGGAGAAGGTGTGGAAAGAAGGAAAAGTACCCGAGGATTGGAAGAAAGGATACTTATTCAAACTACCAAAGAAAGGAGACTTAAGTCAATGCAAAAACTGGCGTGGAATTATGCTTCTGTCCATTCCAAGCAAAATACTAAGCCGCCTCATCCTGGAGAGAATCAAACAAGCCCTGGATGCAAAACTCCGACCGGAACAAGCTGGATTCAGGAGAAACAAATCATGTATTGATCAAATCGCCACTCTACGGATCATCACTGAGCAAAGCTTGGAATGGCAGTCACCTCTCTATCTCAACTTCATCGACTTTGAAAAGGCCTTCAACAGCGTCTATCGAGAGGTGGTTTGGCAACTACTTCGCTACTACGGGGTCCCACCGACAGTTATACATCTCATCCAACAGTTACACGACAATGCTGCATGCTAAGTTATCCACAACTAGAGACTTACGGAAACCTTCGAATTGAGGACTAGAGTGAGGCAAGGCTGTCTCATATCTCCAATGATCTTCCTGATTGCAATTGATTGGATAATGCGACAAACAGCGAGCAATGACGAAACAGGCATAAAATGGACTCACACAAAAAACGTGGAGGATCTGGACTTCGCCGATGATATGTGTTTGATTTCCCACAAACTGGAAGATATGCAAGTGAAAAGCAACAAGCTGGCAGAAGAAACATCCAGAGAAGATTTGACTTCAGGTGAACATTGAGAAAACAGAGATGATGAAGATTCCTGGCCAACACCACAAACAGCAACAACAACAACAACAGACAACAATCAGCCAGGATAAACGTGAGGAACCTGAAAGAAACAACCTCCTTTACCTACCCACCTAGCCGGGAAGCATCGTTTCAACTACAGGCCGTCGGAACTGACGAGGACATGAAAGCCAGAACCGGGAAAGCAAGACAAGCTTTCACTACTCTCAAGTCTGTGTGGAGGTCAACATCACTCAACATCAAAATTAAGATCCGGATTTTCAACTCTAATGTGAAGCCAGTCAGTGCTACTTACCACACGGATCAGAGACTTGCACTGCGCATCATAAAGAGCATCTCCAACAAACTTCATATCTTCATTAACAGCTGTCTTCACTCAATACTCAAGATCAGGTAGCCGGTCACCAAAAATCAGCAACAGGGATCTCTGGAAATGAGCGAACCAACTGAGCAGGAACCGATTGCGAAAGAAATAGGCAGGAAGGAATGGGGATGGATTGGCCATACACTGATGAAACCATCAAGTGACATCACTAGACAAGCCATCGCTCGAGTGGAACCCGAAAGGTAAGCGGCGAGTTCGTGGTCAGTGGAAGGGTGATTTGGAGGAGGTCATGTGAGGAGGAGATGAAAGGATGTGGGAAGACTTGGAGCGGGGTGAAAAAGTTGGCAGAAAACAGAAGGGAATGGAGACGTGCGGCTGAAGCCCTATGTTCCTCTAGGAATTAAAGGATATAATAATAATAAATTACACCAGTTTACTGTTTTAAACTAAGAGATAAAAAGTGCTGGTTTAAACTCACTCTTAGTGATACCTCAGCTGACATTGTGGAGATTTGGTCATAAAGACTCTTAGTCTTCTGATGAAGGTCTTCAGTCTGTAAACAGAAAGAGGAAAAACTGTAGATGTTGTGATCAGTGAAACAGCGAACAAGAAGCATAATGCACAAAGTGTACATATCATTAGGCTAACTTTCTTGTTATGGTGACTGTTGCAGTCCTCTGAATTCAATTCAGCAGAGAATCTTGTTATTTTCTTCAGGTTTCACTATAGAGTTATGGTTTCGATTGCATGTGTTGAACTTATTCACTAGTGTTTTCATGTAGCGCTCAAATACTTTCACCATTTATACAAAATCAAACTGTGAATATGACAGACATAAGTCAGTTGAAAAGGTAATCAGAGATTTATTCTATTCAGAACTCACTCCTTCACGAGGTATGTCTCATGACATTTCTACTTAATCAGTCAATCCTGTAAAAAGTATCAGAGCTGTGTTCTGTGTACTTTGTGAGTTAGTGTCGTGGTATTTCATCAGTGCTATAAGCTGAATCTGAAGCAGTATCCTAGTATTCATCCCACCACTCAGCAGTTCCTATGTTTTTCTACAATCAGAATTATTCTCACCGGCAGGGATTTCCAACTAGTATTACTAAGCGACTAGAGTGTTACCATACATCTGTGTTTGCTCACTTTGGGTGGATTCCTCATTTATCATAATCAAGTATAATTTCAACAAACACTTTGTCACATTCGGGATTTGTCGGAATAGTTGGCCTGAATTTAAGAGTCAGAACAGGACATAGGATTAAGAGAAAATCATACATCTGAAGTCATCTGTTTCACAAAAGTAGATTGCTAAGATAGTAAGTAGGGATGGTTGATGAATTTATATGCAGATCTATATGTTTGCTGAATTCACGTGGAAGGCTGTCCTCCATAATTCGACCGCACAGGTTTGACTCTTAATAACTTTCGAATGCTGTAGTGGAATTCAGGTAAGTAGGATATTCAGGAACTGCTTCCTTCATTCTGTGGCGGAAACCCTGAAACCACTTTATTTTCCATTTAGTTTTATCAAGTCTAAGGCAGTTTTACATATCATTTATATTAATGTCAGTCGTATAACCTACCTCGAACACAAACAATAATACACTTATCTTTTGTAGGTAGAGTTTACCTTTTTATCAACCAGTCCTCAGTGTTTTTTGTATCTCCTTACCTACTTACTTACTTACTTACTTACTTACTTATTATAGTTACTTACTTAATAATGGAGTATTTTGTAGACAGAATGAGGATTTTGATGTGTGCATGCTATACCAAATAATTAAGTTGTGAACAGTGTGTATAATTATTATGATGATGAAAACTTGAGAGAGGAGAGGGAGTACACAATTCAGTCATATTATTCAGGAGAAAAATTCACTTTCGTTTGCATTAATTGCTGTGCATGTGGAGTGGAGTGGATTGGATTGGATTAGATAAGTAGTGTAAATGTCATCGCCTACATCTAGACACTTACGTCGTAAATATCGTAGATTGTTATTGTATACGGCGAAAACAATACTGTAAAAACCTATGTCATACTTTTATTTCACTAAGAAAACTAACAACAATAATATTGGGTTGAACGAAAAGGAGAGTATTTTAATACATCTCATTCGAAGTTCTTATGAATTTCCTTTTTTCTACAAATAAAATTCTCGTGATGCATGATGAATGAATGTAGAAATGATGGGATTTGCGATTCAGTGCTGTTAAATGCAAATTATCTCATAGGCGAGATATTAGCACATGTTTGACAAATCGAACTTACTTCTTCTCATGCTTTATGGTACACATAACCTTTGGACGGGTCTGCCTCAAATTTATCTATTGGACAATCAGTAGATTCTGGGTTTGATCCTTCCGTCTGAAACCCCTTCTAAGACAGTATACCTATTTATTTGCAACAGCTAGTTATCACCCTATCTGCATATGTATGCTTATTCCAACAACCGTCATTATTTCACACTTATAACGTCATGCCAACTTCTGTCTCTTTCTAACGTTCAATTAGTCATCCGTTCAAGCCTGCACATTACATTACGTAATGGATGTTTCGAGAACAAAGTTTACCAGTATCCAGTCGGCCTAATGATTTCTTATTTAAATGTAATTACTAGTGTACATCTCATGAAAATGAATCGTCGTAGAGAAAATTCTCTTTGCTGTTTACGTCCTATCTCACGAGTGATTAATATTAAGCACCTTAGTAATTTAAAACTCATTTATATAATGATAAATTGAAGATGAAAGAGTTCTCAAAACCAAAATTCATCATTTCGGAAGTCTGAAATCTTAAGTCGACCTACTGAGGAAATGTGTTTTTGCCATTTTTAAAAAGATCACAAGTTAATCTGAAACATTCCTATGCACATAATCATCTCAAAACTGTACACTTACCGGGATACTGGTGTTGCTAATTCTCGCTGCGTCCACAACCTGCGTAACAGCTAATATAAAGAATGCAAGGTAGACATTAGGACTGATATGTTAGAGTTAAAACTGTGTATTTACTTCTGATAGCTTAAAACACAAATGATAAAAGGTCTTTACCACCATCGTTCAGCCCACATTCATAATTGTGTAAAACTGTTGGCCTACTTAAAATTTGCAAAGTAGTATACTTCATTCGACTCAAATATGTGGAGTCATAGCATTACTGGATTACGGAATATCTCGTTAATTTCAACATAGATTAGAAGCATAGACAAAGTTATAGTACATTGAAACAGCTGTCTCTCCACAGAATATACAAAGTGCATCTCGTATAAAAGTCATAATTGGTAGGAAATACAGCCTAATAAAACCAAGCTTAGTTTCAATTTATCCGTGTTAATCGTCATCCCTAAAGACTAAAATACGTGGAGTTTGTGTGATAAAATAGTGCTGACTCAATAAATATTGGAAATCCGGGAGAACCGGACACTGTTACTTTCATGTTAGAGACCTCTCATGAGTTTTCGCTCGAGTGTCATTGGAAAATCAAGCCCCCATGTGTGAAGTCTTTTACCTAGTATTTCATCACCCGTCAACCACGGTAGAATCGTTTATCACATGGGTACCGCTCATAGCTATAAGTTGGTAAGCATTTCAAACTTAGAACTAGAAAGCTTTACAGAGCATGATAGTTTTATGTGGTCGCTTAAATGACATGGATTTCTAACAAAAGTATGGTGAAATCTGTTGACTTTTGTAATTTCGAACGATTCCTTATGCAGAAGTCACTTATGGTTTTACTACATGATGAAGATTGTTCTTCGTCGTCTTCACTGTGCTTATCATGCAGAAACTGATCAACAATTTGCCCAGTTCAGGAGTAACTGACAGCACGTGAACGCTACTTGGCTCTCATAAGCTGAATTAAATTATCAGAAGAATGGATACTGAACAAAGGGTACTCTTTTCGATAAATTCATCATCAGGCTCTACAGTTATATATACATTATCTAAGATTTTCACACAGTATTATATTACTTGATCTCTTTTTCATCATAATACTGCTTATTTTACTCCTTCGGTGTTGATATAGTAAAGAATTTAGAGCCACCGAAACTTATTTCAAGATACCTTCTCGGAAATCTAGGTGACTGACTGATCAAACAGTCAGTTGAATCAACAAGTTGTCCTACATAAAAGCTGTTTCCAGTACTGATTCGCTAATTCAACTATCAGGCTCTTCAGTAAGAAGTATATTGTCTGGTATGTGTGTGTGTCTGTGTCTGTCAGAAAGGATTACCACAAAACAGGAAGTCAGACACTTATTTGATCAGGACAAATTATCTTCCATGGAACTTACCACTTGAATCCCCTGTCGTTAATACATTCCTTCCATTTATATGATGATTTTGATGAAGACTTGAAGTACAGTCTCCTCTTCTCTGTATACCATAACTTGATATACGATGCTTTGCAGCTACATCATCTAGTGAACCTACATTTGCCATCAAGGACGCAGTTGGATAAGGGAGTTTCACCTGACTTAGAGGTCCTGTACCCACTGTGCAGTTAGGAAACGAGACATCAGTTTTTCTTGTAATATTCTGTCGATTACTGTAATGTGTATGTAAGTCTTTATTTTCGCGTTGAGAAAGATTCTGTAAGCTACATAGTTTTGGCCATTTCGCCTCCTGGATCTGAGCCGTTCTACTTAATTTTTGAGGACTTTGTATGAAGCTGGGGACTCCATGACTCCCCGTAGTTTGGTTTCGTCCAATAAACATGTTTATCTGATTGTCTCCAAATAGGCCTTTGGGAACAACTGGTTTTGCAGGAATTATTGAGTTTACAGAAGTTAGAAAATTTGAAATATTACTCGTATAGGTTGTAGAATTAACAGCACCATTAAGTATTCCAAAATTGCTTTGAGTTGAGAAAATAGCTTCTGTATCTGAAAAGTAACCAGGCTCCAAAAGATTTCTCGAATAAAGGCGACTGTTGACTGGAGAGTGTGTTTTTGAGCAATTTGTGACATCCATCATCTCTTCTATAGGTTTGGTACATGGCAAAAATTCTGACAAGTTCCTGTTTAAATCCGACTCGATTTCTACTTCAGTTAAACTTTCACGCTTTAGATGAGGCAAACTTATGTCTAATGCAGCATATTCACTTTCGACATCTGAAAAGTACTTCCGATCCCAAGCCGCATCTTCCAAACTTGGATTTGGACTGAGTTTGGACAGAGATGATAGAAGTCGGTCAGGATCATTTGTTGCGTCAAATGGTTTGTCGTATGGATTCTCAACAACCTGACTGGATAGGCTTTTTGATAAAGTACAAGTATCAGGCTTTCCACTGGCTTGTACGAAGTTGATCGGACCGTTGGTAGACGATATCATCTTAGAATTATCCAGTTCGTCTTCAGTGGAGGTAACTTTAGGAGAACCAGTTGGTTTGCAGTACCTGAGGTGTATAATCAGAGAACAATGTTAGCTTAGAAAGAAGGGTAGGCGAATAATGAAATAAAGAATTTATTACAATTTTGGGTTTTAAACTGTACACTTTAAATGCCTTTTTTTAATTTACCTCTGTGAAATATCCCAGTGATTTGATGATGAATAATTTCATTTAATCAAGTGGTTGTTCTGATAGTAACCCCGATACTTATTTTATATGCCTGTTTCCCTTACTCACGTATCAACTTGTGCTTTAGTTCTGTTCAAGGTAATTTCTCCTTAGAAAGAATTTTAAGAAGCACCAGGATCCCTACTATCAAGGAATGAATTTTCGAGGGTCATGTTTTATAATTTATCAGCGAATACGTAGATATTTGACTTACTCTATACTCACAGTGGAGATTACATGAACACGATTCCATGTTTTACTGAACCCATTCAATATGAGTGTTTAAGAAACTTCCCGTGGAGGCACGTTTACGAACTGTGTACAGTCCGAGTTGTCAGGTAACAACCTTGAAGTACAGTGTGATCGGATGACTGTTTTCAGAGAACAGTGGTATTACTAATATAATATCGAAAAAGGATTAAAAATTCATTTTGATGAACTGGCTGAAATTATAGACATCAGAATTTGGTGTGAGTTCAGTGTTTGTTTGCCTTTCCGAGTGGTCGTAGCAAAAAAGTTTAGTGCAGAATAAAATCATAATCTCCACTATAGTTCGCATGAAACTAATTAATACATGCAACAGCCCTGTCACACATATGATCCCTGTTCTACAGAAAAGATATTCATACACCATAAACGGGTAATTGAAAGCATTGTCTACTTACCTATTCGATTCGTTTGTATCAGAAGGTGAAAATGGCATCATACTTTGGATAGTACTTGCAATTATATTTTCCACTTCATTTGATTTAAGTCTCCTATCTTTGAGACCCATGCAAATTTTGTTTGGCCGTTTAGCTGTTGTCGTATTCCCTAACGGAGGTGTTGGATCCTTTTCCATATTGTGTAGATCTCGTTTCGCAATTTGTATTGTAAGCGAACTAACTGTACTATCTACCTGGTCGGCTACTTGATTTATAGGATTAGGTCTGTAATGCCATTGTTGTATATTGACACCATGATTAGGATCAGGGATATGAGAGGGACCAGGATTCAGGTTAGCTCTATTATCTCTCTGATCAGTTATTTGGCTTATCGTATTAAGTCTGTAACCCTTGTGTGTCATATTGACGCCATTTTTAGGATCGGGGATTTTGCAGAAATCAGAACTTGGACTTTTGTCTGGTTTTTCAGAAAAAACTGGAATTCTTGAAGTCGCTTTAGGTTCCTGTTTTCTGTGAAGAATAGAGTCAATGAACGTCCCTGACGCAGGAGCAGCTGGATCTGAAGGGGAAGTACATGCGCTATCCTTAGAATAAGATGAAGACGATATGCCACTGTCACAGTAAAACCTGTCATCTCCGGCTGACAGACTGAAGGTGGCGGAGATAGAATTAGGTATATTGCACCTCTTCTTTGTTGTGTCTTTATTAATTTCCCTGGAACAAGTATTCTGTGATGTATTTCCAACAGTTGGTATATTAGAATTGCCTAATGCAGTCTGAGAAGTCTTATTTATCGAAAGCTGCCGAAAATTAACATTGTCTTTATTTTTCACTGTTTTTAATCCATACTTAGAGTCGCAGAAATTCAAAGATGTAGTACTGCAGGATGATTTCTTGGAAATTGTTTCTTTTATACTGTCAGTGTATATGGTTTTAAAATCACTTTTCTTAGTCTTATAGTCCAGAAACTGAGGAATTTTGATATTTTCATTTTGACTTCTTGTATCAGAGCAAGGTTTTGTGAAGTATGAAGGCTTAGATATTTGAGTATTGATAGAGGCTTGACTTGCTCTGCAAGAACCCGAACGAGCAATCCTCTCAGCATGTTTGTTCTTCACATCAGATTGTTTCTCACGTTTTACTGCTACAGCTGTAAAACAAAGAAATATAAGGAAAAACGTCCCGACTAGTGTAGGTTATATTTTATAAGGAATATGAATGTATGTGGGAAATGTTTAACAGGATTGCTGGCAATCAGATTAATTTTATCGAATTTCTACATTGTATTTTCCAACAGGATATTGTGTTTGGAACTCTGCAGTGTTCCGTGCTAAGGGGAAGTGTAAAATGTTACACAGTAGGTGGTGCCTAAATTCTGTCCTTTCAGTCTCAAGACTTATAGTATTTGTGCATCGGCAACTCATGCTAGAGAAATTCCTCTTTTCGCCCAGACTAAACATATGTATCACCGTAAATACAACAATGGCCAGAAACCTTTATTTAAAGAGGTTTTTGAGATAAGAACAAGTATTTTTTTGTTTCTTTCAGGAGTAAACATTGTGTTAATGAGAGAGCAGCATTTGCTCACAGTGATACAGTATCAGTAAGTGGAATAACGTTTCGAGCGCAGAGTGATACTCATAATAACATCAATGCATTCATGAAAACTCCTGATTTACCTTGTATAGTTTCATGATATGATTTTTCATATATCTGGGATAGTCTTAGTATTATTTCGTTTGTATGTTTTTGGTAGTGATTCAATGAAGAAAGCTCAGTTATTGCAGTGTATTCACCTTCATGGAATCACACATTATGGTGGGATAGAGTAGAAGCATTCAAAGGCAATACATTTAGATAGGCAGAAGGATTAACTAATGAATTTTTGTTAGGTAAATCAACACTAAACACTGCCTAATCGAAATGATGTAACACCTACCCCGCTTATATAAAACCTTGCAATAAAAAATGAGAGAGGGAAGTTACATAAAGCGAATTACAAGGTCATTTGAATATATTGAAATGATTATAAGCCTTGAAATGTGCCAAAAATGTCACCCAGTTGTTAATAGTATATGTATTCCTGTGTGTTACAGCCATTAAAGTTATTTATTAAGGAATTATAAGTGTGTTGTCATTTGGTACAAATAAGTTACTGATAAAATAAATGCATACGTTTGACCATCACTAGAATCCAATGAATTTGACTTACTAAGCGCGTTTATACACTGAAGTACAATTCGCAATTAAACCCATATCTTTGCGGTAATATGTATTAATTTTGCATAAAGAATGGGACACGCAATAAGGTAAATCTTAGAATATCAGCGTACCCAAACCACACGAATGTAGTTTAGTCCTTATAATCAGCTAGTATTATCATAATAATAAGCGCCGTCAACAAGTTGAATGATATCCAAAAAATGTACATGGATTCTGAATATCACCATAAAATAAAACAGTGTTACAGTATTATCAGAGTTCAGAATGAGTATAGTCGGTCAGACCCATCAAGATACTTTTTATAAAAAAGTATAAATAACCCGCTTTAATATTCTAATGGAAAGAGTTGATTTTCACTCAGACGATAATAAGCTTATAAAGTAGAAAATAAAACATCCAACTTCACATTCTTTTTTTTATTTATTTACGTTCCTTATGGAATATAAGGCTTCACATTCTATTGAAGCACTAAAGTAATTGATTTACCTGTCAAAACTGCATGTGTTAAAAGGAGGGTCTAAAAAGCAGATCAAAGTCCTGAAACCATAAGAACACACACGAAATAGGTGTAAACATGTACAGGCACATGAAAATACATGAACACTCAAGAAACAAAAGATGGGTATATGTTAACAGGCCAATGTCTGAAAGCTTGTAGTATTACAGCAATATTTAATATGAACCTTAGTCATATATACGAAGCTGTGAAGGGTGATGGGTAATAGTGTTTGTTTCTCTTTGTTGTCCGTCGACTTTTTGTTTGACCGTCAGACGATTGGATAATTTATTTTTGGCAACTTAACTCTGATATACACCGTAGTGACTAATATTTTTGTTGACTAGTGTAGATATCACAATTTCGCAAAAAAAATTAACCTGGCGATATTAAATAAATTCAATTAACTACTCTAGAATTACCTAAAGAAAATAAATTCTTAAGAATGTAAAATTATTACTGCATATGCGATCACAAGGATAATTTAATAGGAAGTTTTATCAATGGACAAATTTCTCCTCGAACTTTTTGAGTCACCAAGTTGGTAAACTTGATTCTGAAAAGTATTAGAAGCTGTTCAAATCAATTTCTCTTTCTTAGATTATTATGGGAAATGGTTATTCAGTTATTTATGGAATGATACAAAATACGCTAATGAAAAATTTAAGGCATAATACCACCAGTAATTTGTTTACTGTCATGGAATACTGTGGAAAGAACGTCCTAACAAGTTATCTTCCTTGTATTAGTGGTGAAGTCGTTATTCCTATTGTGGTGAGAGCAGGCTGGTAGCCAATTGATAGACATTAATCTAGGCTGATTCAACAACCAATCACAGCAGACTTAAACGTGGACAAATATGATTCGCAGATAAATGGCTCTACTTTCCGAGAAATATCGAAAACAACCAATCAGGAGACTGTGTTTGTCTGCTTAACTTCCAAGAAACAACCAATTAGAAGACTGTCTTTTTCTGCTTGCATAAGCCTTATTAATGTACATAAAATATATATAAATACGCGTTGATTTTCGTAATAAAACGATCTGTTGCCTGGCCCTTGTCTTCTATTGTTACACTATTACTTTTCATTTAAGTTGGTAAATTGCCCAAGTATGAAGTTGTAGATTTTGGTACTTGATCAATTTTAAAGATAATAGTGAAGCCACAGACAACTAGTAGTACTAATCAAAAAAGTCACATTCTGAAACAATGATATTCCAAACAGACTAACACTGCATAATATTGGAAATAGAAGTGAACATGTACCTAAAACTGCACTATCTACTTTCTAAACACAGACAATTAACTCGGATGACGGAAATGTGGGTCAACATCTACATTCCTAAACCTATTCTATGAAACATGGTCAAATCGCATCGGTAGCTCATTGTTTAATCATGTGAATTACATAGAATTAGCCAAATATTTAAAAGTATCCCTAAAAGGACCAACTAAAACACACACATTCACTTCGAGGCTACTTCAAATTTCGGAATCAATCCTACTGATGGATTCAAGCCTCGCGACTATACCTCAAAAACTCGTTAGTTAAAAACTACATATTCAGTTGACAGCTTTTATTTTACCAAGTTTTAGTCAAGCTGAATTAACCAGTATTACTGATGATAATCATATCACAACATATGCATCAGGAAGCTTTATATGACAACAGTGGCTTGATTTTCTCACTAATTATCCTGTGATAAATGGAAATATTATATACTGAATGCAGTCATTGTTAGTAAACCTTTAGTTGCAAGCGTATAGGTCAGTTTCTGAAAATCGTGTTTACTAAAGAGCAAGAGTAAGTGATTATTCCTGGGTTTCGTGCACCACATCAAAGCAAAATGTTTGTAATTGTTACTGCTAGAATGCATAACAATACTGTCATTAATATTAGTAACAGAATTCCTGATTTCAGCATTGAATAAACTTGTACTCCTCACTGTTGTAAATGTGACAATGTGACTTTTCCCAAAAAGCCCGAAAAACAGGTTCAGCGATACGTTCTTCTGATTGACATCTTACATGTGATATCAAATGAACCGCAGTGCACCTTGGTGTCATTTAACCCAACTAGATGACAGTATTGTACATCTCATCCATAAACTTCGATCAATGCACTCAACACTAGACAACTATCGTAATTTACACAATGTATCACTTCGACATGCATGCGTATATGTGTACGCATTACAGATATATTTCAGCATGAATTAAAGAATCCGGAACTTCGGGTTACTGGTGCTATAGTTGGTTCCATAAGTTCCAAGTGAAACATGGGATTTTTACAGCATATATTCCCATTTGGGTTCTACTCGACAACCTCCATTGCGTGTGGAGTTAGTCAATGGTCTTCTCAGAATATGTTCAGTCTATCTCCACTTCCATCTGCACATCTGTTGACTAATAGGATCTTGACTGGTTTGCTTATTAGTAGAGTTCCTAGTTAGTTGCTCATCTTATCCAGCTGGTAACCTGACCTTCTAAATCCAGCCAAAATGTTGATGGAAACGTGCAATATGCTCTTTTAAATACCTTTGGTGACGCGCCAGTCAATTTTATCAACCATCTACAAACAGTGATTTGGATTTAGTGTTCTCTGGCTCTTCCAACAGTTTCTGAGTTTCTGCAAGACTTCTAGTTTGCGAGGCATGACATCTTAGAAATCCACGAAGTCTGGACCTTCTAAAATCCTTCTGTCTAACAGCAGCATGATTTCAAGCCCGTTCTTGCTCAGGATTAAGTTATCCCTCCTTACCAATTTCATAAGGTAGTCTTTCTCCCTTCGAAACTTCCTGCATTATATTCACGGGCATTTATGCTGAAGTTCCTTAGTCCGTTTCTAGTACTTTCGAGAGTACTTGTTATGATCCTCCTGCTTTCGCAGGGGGACTTGAAGACTTCCGACTTTTCTGAATGGTGGCATTTTAACGATATTTTTGTGTCTGGTGATGGTATTTCTGGACGAGTCGTAGTTGGTGATTGATTTAAGGGTTCCTGTATTCAACCTCGTTGATAATTGAGTTTCCTTTACCATCTCTGATTGGTTACATTTACGCTGCTGTCTTCCGTGAATGCCACTTGTCTGTTTAGTACGGTGTTGTGAGTCCTGTCTTGCCCTCAGCCTTTTCTCCCTCAGTTATCACTGTATCGCATAAGTGTCATTTTGTCTTTCATGGAACCTTTCTTCACTTCTTTGTTCAATGCTATATAGGTTATATACAACTTTTTCTTTGACTGTTCATCTCTGTGTTGGTTCGTCTTCTTCATCATTCTTCTCAATTATGCTATCTTCCAGGTGCCCATTTTCAGCCATTCTTAATCTCATATCTTCTTACTATCGAAGATGCCTCTACAAGATTCTTTCCATGTTGGTTCTAAAGAGTCCCAATGTTCTTCGGTGCAGGTTTCCTCAGTAACGTTGACCAATGTCTATGACATTTTCTTTAGCCTTATGATAGGCCATATAAAACCAGTAGTTCAACCTTAGAAAGATTTTCCATAATCAACTCTAAAGTACTTGTTATTCGTAACTAAAGTTTAAAACATTAGGCTAGATCTATTTAAATGCTACTGAAAAGAGTAATTTGATTTATGTTTCAGCTATAAATCGTTGTAATCTAATGGCTGATGTAAGTCACGCCTTACTACTCATATCAGTCGGTCAGTAGTATATTGCGGCATACATCTATGCGTTCAGTTAGTATGACACCAAGGAAGTGATGATTTTCCTATTCAAGTGTTGGTTTGTAGGGATTTAGTTGATTGGTTACAGGATTTCATCATGAGCTGACATTAGTTAGAGAACCCTGTTCAGGTAGGTAGTTACCTGGGGTTCTAGTGAGAAGTCGTGACCAGTAGGGTGCTGCAGGTTGGGTGTGAGGATAAATACTCACCGAAGTGTATTCTGAAGATACATCATCATATCTGCAACTTCGAGCGCCTAGCTTAGAAAATGTGAAAATATTTACGTGTATTCTCGTGAGAGTGAAGCATTAATAATTTTCAATATTAAATCCCTGTCGTATTTTTAGACATATATACCTTGAACAGTCAGTTGCTTGTTGTTTGATATAACGCACACTAATAGAGTATCAGTAACTGGATGATGTGTCGAGCCCAATTTACTTTTCATAATCATTTCAATTAATATACACTACTTTTCATTTTGCTTTGTATAGTTTTATAATGTAATTTTTAATATATCTGGTATAGGTGTTGCATGATTTCGATTCCATATATTTGGTGTAGGATTGATGAACAACGATTTAGTATTTAACCTTCTCTCCACTTAAGTAATATAGTTAGTAATATAGTATAGTTAGTTAGAAAAGTTAATCGGGAAACCTTTGTCCACTGAATCAAGACCGAATACATGCGACGGAAATGAAATATCACCTGTCTCTTTTATATAGAAAATTACATTTAAAAGCACATTAGAAAGTTGTGTAAATACATGCCTATGATTATAAGTAATCAGCTGTTTTCAAAACATCATCCATTTTAGCATCAAATCAACTTATCTAACAGGGGGCATGAAACTGAGTCTTTGGATTGTTGACTATTCATAAGGATATAATGAACGCCAAGATTTTGTTCACTGTAACCCAATATTCACGTTTCTCTGATTTTTTTTCCAAAAGTTTGCAAAAGTTCAAGAATTAGTTACAGTGTTTATTATCAATCATTATATTACTAAAAGCGTATGTGTCTAACAGTTTGAATAGCCTGCCGCACAAATTCTTTATGACTGATTCATCAATAAAATATCAGGAACTTGGGGTAAGCGGAAAAATAAATGCTAATTAGTAGTCAAATACCATTGCTTATATTTTCTAGAAACTATAAAATTGTTACATATTCATCTTTACGCCTACTTTCTACAAAATATAAACTGAAACTAACTATATATTATGTATGAAAGTATTCACTATAAAGTGAATACTTTATGTTAAATGATATCGTATTTCATTTCACACTCTTAAGTTGTTTTGTACCACTGTTTTCAAAGCACGGTGCAACACTTTTTATTCAGTGGATAAATCAGTGCACAACAGTGTAGACTGTTGTGTGCATATCTCATCTATCTAACAAAGTCTACACAGACAAATGCCTAACGAGAAAGCCTGTTCTGCAATATCTGATACAATAAAATGTTTGTTACTACCAAATCTGTTTTGATTAATTATTTTTGTCTACTGATGATAAAGCTATGCATCCAGTGTCTAAGTCTTGCTGTTCAGTAATAATGATATGGTATTACTAGGTATTAATAAGAGAAAAATATATATTTTTCAAAATTTGTTTGTTGTTTTCTCTCTTTTTATGCCAAGTAGTCACTATTGGAACCTTCTTTCATATTAAATCTACTGCGTGTTTTGAAGAATGTAACGTGAGCTACAATCGTTCCTTGCAGCAAAATTACATATGACGTTCACTGGTCGCAAGTTGTTCTCTACCTCTGTAGAAGGTAAGCTCCCCCGTCTGGCCGCCTTTATGTGCATCTACCTCACGGATACGAGGACATATTCCCGCATGGTTTTACAAGGGAGAAAGGAAGTGTGTGCGAAGCTCTATTCTGGAACACCTGATAGACTTCTGTCACTCGGTCAACCCTCACCATGATTTCAAGATCATATGTAGAATCCATGCTAACTTGCCGCGTTTTCTTCGTTACAGACTTCTAAAGACAGCTGAGGCCTTGGCAATTCATGACTTTAAGCCAGACCTTTATGTACAAAAGAAATATGTACAATCCCTACTTTTGCCTTATCCGTAGAGGGATAGATATTTATTTATTTTGTTTATTTAGTTATTCTATGTACATTTCCCTTACTACTATGATTATTATTATTGTCATTATTATTATTACTATTCTCACTCCGAATCTTTTCCACTTGACCCACTTGACATTTTAAACCCAAAATTATTAATTTGTATATTTTTTTATTTTTACAATATTGAATTCTACTTTATCAAATTCCACATCATTTTATGTAACATTTTTATATTCGTCTACCAAAAAACCGTTTCATAAAAATGCAGCAGTAAGAATAATATTCTAATTCTCTAGGATACATATTTTCAAAATGAACATACACTCCTGAGGTCTTCTAGAATACTCATTATCATGTATATTATTATTGCTCCCTTGTGGTCCCAGTGGAACATAGGGCTTCAACTGCACGTCTCCATTTGCTTCTGTCTTCTGCTGTACTTTTCACCTGCAACCATGTTAGTCCATACTCTTTCAACTCCTCTTCACACGATCTCCTCCATGTCACCCTTGCACTGACATCCCACTCGCCCCTTGCTTCCCTTTCGGGTCCCACTTGAGCAACGGCCTGACGCGCGATGTCACCAACCGGCATCCTCAGCGAGCGAGTGTCCCATCCATCTCCACTTTCTCCTGCATATTTGTTGGGCGATTGGTTCTTGCTTTGTTTGTTCCCATAGTTCCTTGTTGGTGATTCTTTCCGGCCCGCCCGGCCATCTGATCTTCAGTATAGATCCAGCGAAGACAGTTGCTGGTTGATAAGGGTCTGCAACAGGCTGTTGGAAATATTCTTTGTGATCCGCCCGCCAAGTTTCTGATCCGTATAGAAGAATTGACTGACTTGACGTTTGTATTGAAAATTCTACCGAATTTTGTTGTTGCTGCAGAGTGACGAAGATTTCGAGATTGGTTTCAGGTTGATGAATGTGTTTCTCGCTCGCCTTCCCGATTCTCTCTCGATTTGACATCCTCATCCGTACCGACTGCCTGTAGTTGAGACAATGCTCCCTAGATAAGTGAAGGAAATAACCTCTTTCAAATCCCTCCCGTTGATGGTGACTGGCGCTGGATGTTGCTGTTGTTGTTGGTTGGTTATTTTCATCACCTTTGTCTTGTCTATGTTCACCTAGAGTCCTACCTTCTCCGGCTGCTTCTTCGACCAGTCTGTCGGTTTTCGCTTGTAAGTCTTCGATTTTGTGTGACATCAGACATAAATCACCCGTGCGCGAAATCCAGGTCTTCTAGGTTCTTCGCGTCTCATTATCATGTAATGCTGAGAAATTATGATGTTTATTTTCATTGTTAAATAAATTTTTATCACAGCGACCTACAGGCCTATTGAAAATGACCAAATCTGTCAGACTATGCAAAGTTTAAATTCAGTGCGTTGCATAAAGAATTAGTCATGGATTAAGTAGCCATCAGTTTCCTTCTTTCTAACGGAAATTCATGTTATATTGATTTGTGATCAAGATTGCATTGAAGTTAAATATATATATAAATCTGGATGTTCCATCCCAAAAATACGTATCATGACAGAATGTGAAACAAAGAAAAACAATGGGTAGTTAAGGAAAAAACACATCAAAAAAAAAGAAATCAAACTTACATAAGTTTGAAGATGGTGGGTTGATTTTGACCGGTTTGGCATATGGGAACATTTGTTTAATTTTATCTGTTTTCAGGAAAGAAAAAACAAAAACAGTGGAAATTGTTGAGGAAACCAAATAACAAGTTGATTTATAAAAAAGTTGAAAAACAGTAGCACTGATAACCTGAGATATCATTCTGATAATTAACCAACTTGTAAAGTGGAGGTTTGAATCACTGGGAGGATGAGATTCGCTAGTTTAAGGCTGTATTTAGAAGCAACCATACAAAAACAAGTGAGTATAATAGTAATCACAGTGACCTAATCAATCTACGGCCAATTAACTGCAATGGAACTTAATTCATCAATGGTATACTGGAGAGAGGCTAGATTAAACAGGCACAAAACTGTTTAAATTATCCACTATTTATTTAGCTGACTTGGCTGGTACGCAGAAACACTTCAAAGATGACGAGTCACTCAGATGTCCCACTCTAGCGTTTACAAGGATTTTGTCGAGAAACTAGCAACTAAGGACAGATAATTTTCACCTGTAACAAAAGTGTCACGTTTTTCATTGAGAAGCTTCTACATGTTTTTTCACAGAGATTTGATGAATTTCAAGTAAGATCATGCACCGACCTCAATTGGAAAACTGCTGAAGATAAGGAAGTACTAGATTGTTGCTTCCTACTAGTTAGGAACTCCATAGTCCTCCGACTGATGTTGTTTCGTGATCAAACTTGGAATCATTCAAATTCCTATACTTGCTGATTTTCATATATATATATATATATATATATATATATATATATATATATATATATAGTTCTCACATTATGAAACAAGGAAACACATATTGAAAAAGTACCTTTAAAGCTCTTCAAAAGTGCACAAGATCAAAATCTTTTAGGACCTTCAGGTTCACTCTTTAGTAAATCTGATGGAAGCAAAACTGGAGTAACGTACTTCTAAAGGAATGATACTTAAATCTACCCGTACACACTCTTAAATGCGAGTTATGTACAGAAGATTAGCAGAATGACAAAATCCCACTAGGTTTCATAGAACAAATTATCCATATAAAGAAGATTAAAGTAGTTTTGACTGAAGTAGTCCTGCTATTTCTCCACCAAATTTTTAAATTTAACCAGCAGTTATCTTACTGGCAGTAATTGATAGGGTGGCAGTGAAATCTCTGAGCAGATATTTGCAGCGACGCTAATTTAAGTCCTGAATTTTCGGTGGTTAGTCACTTCTACTGTAATGAAGTAAGTTTCCTTTTTCAGTTTGAGTTTTGAAGAATAAAATTACCGTTTTGCATAACTTGTTAAAAACTGGCAAGTGTTGCACTATTTATTTAGTTTATTAAACAGCATAATGAGAAGATTCAGATGGACTAAGCAGTCTAGTTGCCTTCATAGGAGTGTCAGTTTTATATCTTTTAAGAGCTCACTTTTCTTTGGCAGATGTTTTTTTCGGCGCCTTAAATGTGGCTGTCTTCTAGGTTGTTAAATCCGAATGAAGACAACCCACCTGATACACAAGAATGACTGAGGTGATTGGTTTAATATGCTATGAAATATGTCACATAGTTACCCTTTGCAAGTTTGTATTTGTTTACAAATAAAAGTTTTCAGTTGGTAACTCCATGTGCCTTAGCTTTGTTCCCTAGTCACTCGTTACTTCCTTACACCAGCCCGCGTTCTTATCTACTCAACTTATTCAGTATATTCTGTAATTAGGAAACATTTGGTAATATAACATAATGTAAGCTGAAAATATTTTGGTGTTGTGTAGAACAAATGATGACGGCTATTTTTATGAAGCCTACAGAGTTTTATTGTTAATATGAGCTATGCAATTGCAGCTTTCTTCTCAGATATTTTAAACTCTTCCCACTAAAAAAGTTCTTTTTCTTTGTAAAAGAATCTGTGATGACCAGTGGTTGCAATCTCTTCGTGTTGTGAACTTTTCCAGGTTATTGTATGTCATGGTCATTTTGTTGGCGATTGTTTAATTTCATGATTGCTGGATATTTTAAATTTTCTAAGAGATCTCTAGTGGTTCTGTTCAACAGGAGTAACTGAGGCTCACCTAAGTTACTGAAACTACTGGCTTCATATTCCAATACTTCTTTAACATGTATTATGGAGAGAATCGCAATCTGCCTTTTATGTTTAGCAATATATTTAAAAAGAAAAATATTAGCACAAATTCCCGCATCCAGAAGCTTAGTTCAAAACTGCAGCATAACAAAATTAACTCATTCTATTTATTTGATTTCCATCCTTTTTTTTTGTAGAAACATTTATAACTGTCTAACTGAACTGTTTGGAACAAGTGGGGATTACTTTATGCATAACTTTTCAAATTATTTACTTTTTAGGAATGCCGCATAAATAAGAGACAAAATGCGTTTTTGTCCAACTTGGAAATAAATTGTTTTCATGTCACTAAAACATTATGGAGTGAAATAGACAACCGTTTTCCTGTCAGAGTAAAACTCTGATTATTGATTTCACATTTGTTTGCAGTGACTGATCATTGTTGTTCATTTGCATTCAAAACAAAATTGAAACTCTGACAGACAGTGCTTAAAAGTTGAAAATAATGAGCTGAGTAACGAATCTATGCTTGTGTTTAAATTTATTCCCTAAGCTGTTCTATCATCACTATTATTCTACAGGTAATTATGAGCATATAGTTAACAAGAGTTAGACAAATTTACTACAATGCAGAATGCAGCATACCGGCGAACACTTCGTTGTTGAACAACTGATGACAAACAACTGCTGACTTCACCTAATCGATAGAAATTAAATTGCAATGTTTACTTTACTACAACTCGTAGAGGTTTAAATCTTAAAGAAATCGAGTATTCCACATATATTTCGATTTATTTTTCCACTACTATTTGCTTACTTTTGGAGAGTCCCGAAGCTTTAGAGATTTTGGTAAAAGAAAGAACCAGTGTACTTGACGACATGTTCTGAATGAAAACCTAAAGGTAGATAAGGTTAACTGTTTCGTTCATTTATTTTCTTGATAGTATGGTCAATCAATACTCAAACGTAAACTGTACACCTACTAATTGGAAGGACATTTATTTAGAGCGGTAGTGAACGCTGTCTTATCCGTATCAACCTCATTTAGAGGTATTTGTCAGCATTCGCAGAAACGTTCTAGATCCGTAAAAACATTCAAAATCTGCAGAGGGTTTAGTGTTTCTCCTGGAGTTAGCGTGTGCCCTATATTTTATCTAACACTTATGATGTAATCTGGCGCAAACCAGTAAAAAAACATTTCCATTACTATATGTACTTCAAGTTTACACAGTCCCGTTCAGTGTCAACTGCCCTCTTTTATTAATGAGATTGCTTTCTTAAGGCCTGTTACAAAAACAACTTCACACTCATTTGCTCACATTTTATCACTCATTACCTCTCCATTTATTGTATCTTCAAATATTAATGCAAATGGGTAAAAACAAGAAACATTATATCGACTAAAATAATTTATTCTTCCTTTCTGAAGTCGTTTAGCCAGTGTCTAGTTAACCCATAAGCAAAATGCATACATCTACCTGTCAGCGTTAATCATCTATTTACCCTTCTTAATTTCTCAGTTCTGGCTGATACCACCATAACACTGATGAGCTGTCTTGTTTCCCCAATCATCTGTTCATAGTGTTTAGGTACTACTGAATTCAAAAGTTGTATATACTCTGGAATGCTATGTAGAATGTCATTGCCCTTAGAGTGAGGAGAGTGTGTGGTTCGCTGTATATGTCAGTCTTGACAGTAAAATCAGCGGGTCTTTGTCTTGCTTCCATATCGTACTCCAGAATTTCTGCCTTGCCTGTCTGCTGGGCTGTCAACTCGACCACTAGTTCCCAAGTAGTTTGCAGGTGATTTCGTATATACTACTTACTTGTAGACTGATGCAAGTAGTCGGATGCCACTCTCACTAACCACTCGTGTTTGTCAGCCACATCGAAGCGATATAATTACCGGACAACCATCGCGCACATTTGAAGACTTGCTTATCAGTTGTGTCCTCGGTTCAGTTGAGCTCAGAGAGACAAATTATTTCAGACCAATAGAATTCTGGTTAGTTACTTGGGCGAACTGGTAAACAGTAGAATCATCTACTTCATTTGTAAATAACTCAGATCCAGGCAAGGAATCCATAAAGATTTTTTGAAAAGTCGAAACAACGATGAGATCAAAGCAAGTGGTCTGTTTCATACCATAAATGAGAATAAAGAAAGCAATCAAAATAGCGTGATACTATATACTAATGGTTATTTGACGAGTAGATGTAAATCACTGATGTGAAACAGTACTGCTACCAGGAACGAAGTCAAATGATAGATACACTCGAATTAATGCATTTAAACGATTGAAAAATAGTAAGCATACAAGGTAAATAACCTTCAGAATTTATTTGCTTATCCAAAATCATGGATATTACCAATTATTTTGTGTATTTCCAAGCCAAGCGTTTTAGTGTTAACCTGTAGCTACAAGGTTGGTAGGGATTAAAAGCCTAATTGGCCGAACGTTATTTGTCCCTTATATTGATGTGAGGAGATGCTGTGAGGAAATACGTTGAGAAAGGAGACTAATGGAAACCATCGGAAATATTCTGGCATGACTACACTGTTCCTTGAAAATATCACCATTTCTTTTGATAACTTTATCAGGTATATCTTACTTAAATATTTTCTGTACTTTAGAGATTCACGGAAATAGCAAGGTTACTTTAGTCTGGCTATTGTAACTACTACTCAACAGTCAATTCTAAGTGAAGAAAACATTTACAGCACCATTGAGTGACTTTTGAAAATGCTGCATTTAGATAACTTCATCGTTTGGAAGTCTTTGTTGTGTTTTCTTATTTCATGGCGAGTAGAAAGTTTTACTGAATAACCAAATCATAATTTCATTTTAGTACCATCAGTCGATAATTGGTACCAAATAGTCAGTTGGTAGTGGTTAAATTTTGTCAGCCAGAAGTTAAATATCTCGAATTTCAACACTATTTTAATTGTTACCATGATAAAGA